GGGGGGAGAAAAAAAAAAGAAGTCAGACCAACCTCTCCAGCAGCCTCCTCTTGCCCTGTCTCCATCAGCCACTGGTTGTAGTTCTTCTTGAGAGTGTCCAGCTCCGGGTGGCTCTGTACACACACACAACAAACAAGACATTAAGTCAGAAACACACGCAACTACAACTACAATTAGAGACATCGCACATAAAAAAATCCTGTGATGACACCTGTGCTGTGTCAATGACAGAGTCGCACTTTTTAAGGACTCCCGGGCAAGTGTTGAGTTCCTGCGTGCTGTTGGCATCACTGACCGTTTATGAAGCCACAGCGCCAGAAGAGAGAGAGAGAGAGAGAGAGAGAGAGAGACAGAGAGAGAGAATGACAGAGTCATGCACTCAACAACTGACCAAAAATACCTTGAGTTTGAGTACTGGAAAAACCTGTTGACACAATAACTGCCATTTAGTACACGTGGAAAAGAAATACAGATAGACAGAAACAACAGAGGGAAAAAAGATTTGCCAGAAGTGTCTTGCAACAACCTGCTCAACTAGCTCCAGGCAGGAATTTAGTTCTATTTTGAAACATTTTTTCTGACAGAAATGGGAGTCTTGATATCATCTATAATTATGACATTTTGCTCCTCATTCTCATCAGTACTAAATTCTTGCTTACATTGTACATTTTATCCTCAGCACTTAGGTGTCATCCAAACCAAGAGTATGTGTGGTTGAAAGGCACGAATGGTAGGTCCAACTTCTTTTGTTCCCCATTTTTTTTTTCTGTCCATGATTTTTTTCCCCAAACACTAAGTGACTGTCATAGCATTGATGTGCTTTACCTTCATTCAAACTAAAAACCAAATGTCAAGGGTATAAAGGAAATGAAGAGGAAAGTCTTATTTCAATATTTGCCCCAGACTCTGATCCCAGAGTCTGTCACTAATTCCTGGATTTGCTAGTGATATTCACTTTGGCATTTGTCATGACTTCTTACCTTGGCATCTGCCACTTCGATGGCATCATCCCACATATGCATCTCCTGGTACATCTCAATGGCTTCGTTCACATGGTTCTGAAACACAATAATATTGATATTTACACGGCTCTTCAAGGCACAAACCAAATCATAGGGTGGTGATTATGTATCACGGGGACAAACAAAACTGCCACAGTACAGATGTAATGGCTAAAGGGGAGTTATTTAATTGTTAGAAAGTTCCAAGATAAACCAGCCAAGGTAAAAGTGAAAATCTCACTTGACCACAAACAGCAATGTTGAGGAACTTTACGGATTGAACATAATCATAAATGTCATGATTTCATTTCTGCCCCAGGAGACTATGATCACTCACACATACACAACAAAACATGTGCACATATAAACACAAAAATAGCTGAGCCCACAAAGAGACACTTACCCCCTCTAGGTAGATGTATTCAGCTTCTTTGAACTTCTTGTCCGATATTGCGAGTCGAGCCCGGACTTTGTAGTGTTGGTAACCATCACCACCCTGAAGAAAAGGCACACAACCATTGTTTGAGAGGGATAATGGGCGACGAGTGAACAGTTGGTCTGTCTGAATAACAGGGAAGTGCAAGGGGTCACAGTTGATGGTCATAAGTGTTGTCATCGGGGAGTTGTGGGGAATGGAAATTAAACATGACAATGGACACAGTTTTCAGGAAGCAGATTAAGACAATGAAATGAAAGAGAAGAAAAGGAAGCAAACAACGCCAAATCATCATCAAAACATCCTAGTCAAATGTCATACAATTTTAAATATTCAAGTCTCCACCAACTCCTTTGATGATCACACAAAGCCGGGAAAGTGCAAAATGAAATCATTGGCAGAGAGCTAGATATCTAGATGTGAAAATGTAAAAAATTTTTGTTTTGAGAAAAAGTGAATTTTTATGACAAGGTGTGAGCAGGAAAATTTAGACATTGACAAGTCAGGAATTGTTATTGAGGCGAAACTACAGGAGTATCATATTAACATGCAGGATGTAATGTCATTTGAGTAACTCTGCTATGCTACATTTTGGTATTTTAGCCAAAATGGACATGGTCACTTCTAGCTCTTAGCTAACGAAATACAAAATGAACGAAAAGACGCAGCAGTAACAGATGCAAAGTGTGGAGTTAGACATGACATGACAGATACATCAGAGGAGCAGGAGTCCCCGGGACCTGCTGAGACTTGTAGGGACCACACACATGGGTCACTCTGAAATATTCTCAAGATATACATATTGCTGTTTATCACTAGGATCAGAATTCCTACAAACATAGATTAAATTACAATTATTTAGTGAACACATGCAGTCACAGACATCACTTGATCAAATAGATAATGCTTTAAATGCCAAAATCACACTGTACAACACATAATAAAAGAAACACATAATTTATTATCTAAGACCTTTCCAAACCATATCTATAAAAAACCCTACATTTAAGAGAGTCTTCAGTAAACAAGAAATAAGTCTAAAAGTCTCCCAAAGATCTAAAGAGATCCCCTACCCCCTCTCACACACCAACACACTCATACATCGTAGTACGTGAAAGTAAGTGACACTCTAACATGAAAACCACACGCAGAAGCTGAACATACTGTCTGTTTGGCCACCTCCTCTGCCAGTCTGAGTGTCTCCTTCAGGTAGCGAGCCTTGGCTATGTTGCCCAGTGCAGAGTAACATCTGAGAGTGAGAGGAAATCAAGTGGTAGTAGATCATTGGTATAACCTAAAGTGTCTTCTGAAAAGCAAACCTTTGACACAACACCCACCTACACAAACACTCTAAAAAAAATTACTTTAAGATTGTCCAACAGGTGCTATATATTTTCACCTTTTGAGAAGTACATATTCCATCATTGTCACAATGTCCCACACATGAAGAGGTAATTCTTATATTTGTTACAATTTCAAAGAAAGTAATGCTTGTTTCTCAACTCACCCCCCACCCTCTTGTCTCATGACATCTAACCAGTGACACCCCCCCTCCCTCTTCCCACCCCACCCTATCTCTTGAGATATACCTTGTGCTCTTCACATACCCCCCCCAACCCCTCTCCAAATCATTTTCTCTCTCTTGCCTTTCAACTAACTCCATTAAGAGCATGGGGCATCAACAAAACCTTTTGGCAGATTTCTGTCCAGTGCATCTTTCTCCAGTTGTGCTGTAGTTTTGCCCAGTGTCTTGACATCTGCCTCCATCCTTTCTTTACAGTCACTAACAGTGTGCCATTGAGGTCAAATCATCTCAAGCCAAAATTCTTCAACATTCAAGCATCCCCCCCCCTTCTCCCCAAGCAAAGCTACCTTTCAGCAATGTGTAGCTGTTTCTCCTCCAGTGCCACTTTGCTTAGCGTCTTCCACATGGCCTCCGTCTCGGCGGACATCTCCAGGGTCTCCAGAAACATCACCGCTCTGTGGGTGGTGGTGGTTTGGGGGGGGGGGGGGCACAAAGAAGTATAGGATGAACTCAGTGTTTGGGATATATGATGCAAAGACACCATGTGCAAACAGAGATCCACATATAAAATCTCCTTGGTTACAGAGCAGTAATCTATCTCATTGACAAAAAGTTTTCCCTAAACATCAAAACATCAAACAGTGTGAGATTTTTGCTACGTCACTGCTCTGTGGTTTTGGAGGGGGGGGGGGAAGAAGTAGAGAAGAACTCAGTGCATGGGATACATACAAACACACCATGCACAAACACAGATCCACATATAGCATCATAGGGTAAACATGGGCTACAGAGCAGCAATCTGTCTCATCTACAAAAAGTTTTTCCTAAACATCAATCAGTGCGAGATTTTGTTGCTTCTACTAGGCTCAGGTACTCAGCAAATGCCGACATTCCTGTTCAGTTTCGACTATTGTTTGCTCTCACATATCAGATATCTCAAAATAATGGAAACTTCTAATCTGTTAGATCAAAACTTCCTTAACAGTAGCCTTTCATACCTTAAAAATAATATTAAATGTTTTACAGTCCTAGCAATACAATTTACATTATCTATGAGGTGAATTGCTTCAACCATGCCAGATAAGGCCAGCTAGGACTGAGTAAGACATGACATGGATGCAGTAAGATAGATATCATACTCCATAAAAATGAATTTGTTAGAGTAAACTTAGAGCCCAA